TGAACTGGTTTGAAGAAGAATTGGGTGAGAAAGATGGTGTGGGAGATGGTGTGTTTGGGTGAGTGATGACCATCGGCATGTCCGGTTGCAGGGGTTGTCCGGTTGGTGGGTCACGTCGTCTAGTGTATCTTGGCGGTTGGCTTGGCTGTTGGTTGTACTCCGCATGTACCTTCGTGCTCGAGCAACTCGGTTGCAACTTATCGAAAATTACGAGTGCAGGTGTGCGGCGCACGCAGAGACGATGGAGACCTCCCATGCTCAGGGGTCCCGGGGAGGTACTTTGACAAGCCCCCGAGCGGCCTTCGAACGTCCCCTGCTGTGCTGCCAACAGGTAGGTAAGGTACTGTACATTCTGCCTCTGTTCTTATCCGCACGTCTCCGGCAGCAGAGTTGTCTTGCCCGGCATCGGTGCCTCTCAATCGTCTTCCCGTATACTTCATCAACCGAAGTTTGAACCAGTATCTCTTGGGCAGTTACAAACCAACAATGCTGAGGTCACTTCTTTCCTCGGGAGTGCTCGTCGCTCTCGCGATGCCTACCGCCGCCATCATCCTCACGTCGGCAAATCAGGCCGAGCTACATCCAATTGTGGCTCCCACGAAACGCCCCAATGTCACGACGACAGATCCGTGGACGTGCGTGACTGAGAGAATCAAGAACCTGTACTTCAACCCGCCGCGACCGAGCGGTGCTCTGGACGACGCCCATTACTCGTATGGCGTCCAGCTGCTCGAGACGTGCAGGACGACGGGCGTCTTCGAGTACCGCACCGACTGCGATTTTCCCGACAAGACGCTTTGGTGCGGCATCACAACCGCGCTGCCGGCATCGCTCCTCCCGGCCTACTCGGCCTACGCCAGCAGCGCCTGGTCCTGGTGGTCGGCGCACAGCTCCAGCGCCGTCCGCGTCGCCCAGGAATGCCCGCTGCTCTGGTACCAGATAGCCAATAACGTCGTCCTGGGCGGTGCGGCCTGGATGAACCACACCCTCATCAACGCCGAGTGCTATGCCGAGGTACACCAGACCGTCACAGGGTCCCGGTCGTCGGCAATGGGGCCGACCGCGACGCCGGGACAGGGCGCAACATCCGTGTCTGCGCCGGCCAGCACTTCGGCCAGTGTCCTCCCGACCCAGACAAGCAGCGTCCCCAGCTCTGGCGGTATGCTCCCGACTTCACCCACCATCATCATGCTCCCCATGCTCGCCGTCCTCTTCGCGGCCGCTGCCTCTGCAATATGTCAGTCCCTTTGAATCATGTTTGCCAAAATATAGAACACCCCGTCCCCAACGGCAGCACCCGCTAACCAAGCATTCAATAACTTACAGAATCCTGCAACGGGGGCACCTACGCTGGCGGCCAGTCAAACCAGATCCGGTTCCTCTGCAGCTTCGCCTGTAGCTACGGATACTGCCCTGCCGGCCTATGCAAGTGCACGTCGTACGGCGTGCCCAAGACCCCGCGACGCAGTCCGACCAGCGCAACGGTTGCCCGATCTCCGGTGTCAGCGACGCCTACAAGGGCCTGTGCAATTTCTCGTGTAAGGAAGGGTTTTGTCCGACGAATCTTTGTCAATATTTCTAGAGACGGGAGGGCGTCAATTGGCTGTTGTGGGGTGAATACACGATGCGGTATCTTGAAAGTGACCTACCTAGGTATCTGATGGGTGTGCGGAATGAGAATATGATGGCGGTGGCGATGACCGAGATCCGTGAGAATTTCTGAGGTGATGTTGTCGCTCAGCGGCATCTAGAGATGGAACTGCAAGATGAAAGCTGCAAGAGTTAAGGTATTAGACCACCTATTAGCTGAGCCGGGATCAATCACCTTGCAGCAGTGACATGCAGCGACCTCCACGTTGTCGTCCGTTTTCTGGCATCGCGAGGACTGAAGACGCATTTGGACATGTGGCTTGCACAGCCGTCGCCTGCATCGACTCGGATGTAGGCCCAAGTTGCGCGCCCGGCAAGTGCCCGTGCCCTCTGCCACAGGTGGCGTCTCGTCCTGCTCCGTGAGTGTCCGGAACATGAACCTGACGTGGCGTTGTAGAGGGTGCGGTTGCTAACGGCGGTTGTGGTGAGATTTCCCCCAGTATCCATGGGCGCTGTGCAATGTCGAACAGACTGACGACGAGTGTCTCTTGCTTTGGAGGAGAGGTAAGATCGTTGCCCACGGCGCACTCACCCTGGCTCCAGGCCACCACCAATTTCTGGACTCTGGCCAAGTCACCAGTGGTATCGATTGAGATGCCGAACACGGTCTCAGGCCCAAGGCTTCACGGCCGGAAGCCTTCCCGCCGCCGGTGGTGAGCACCAGCTCGCCGGTTGTTTCTCTGCCCTCGACAAACACGCCGGGGTAGCATTCAGGTTGGGCTCAAACAGGCCTGCTGCAAGTTTCGCGTTGTCGGTTGGTGTTGCGGTGGCATTGCTGACGGTTCTGTCGCCAACCGAAGCTGGATCAGTGCCGAGGGTGCAGCTCTGATTGAGATGTCGTGCTGGGATCGTCCAACGGGAGTAGCACCGAGAAGTGCAGCAGCATGGGCAGCTCACAGCGCGCCAAACGGCTGAGAGAGTAAATAGGGCGTCCATTTGTGTACATTGGCGTAGTCGAGGTGGCAGGGCAAGGGGCAGTCGTGCTGGTCTGGGATGTAGGTGAGAGGATCGGCGGTGGGTGAAGGGTCGTCTTCGGAGAGCGGTTGCACGACCCTCTGACCGTCAAGGTCAACCGCGGCTTGCACCAACGTGGTCGCCGCGGACAAGACGAAAGGCTTCACGGACTTCATCCTCGGCACCAGGAGCGGTGCTGGGAAACAGACGCCGGCAGAGAGAAACTACAAAGCAGCAAAGCGGCTGTGAGGCCAGGGGTGTACTTACACCCTGGTTGGAATAGTTATAACCTCGTCGGGGAATCGGATGCCGTTCGATCGGCGGATACGCTGGCGAACCTGCACGGCCAAATGGCGGTGCCGAACATTAACATGCGACGCGACCGACCGGGCCGTCGCCACACTTCTGTGCTCGTGGCATACTGCTCTGCGGACTATGGGAAATGGTGTGAATATCTCGCTGAACCTTACTATGGTTCGTCGCCTGCTTTTCCCGCTTGCCTCGCTCTCTCCTCTCTTTTGCGAACTTTCAACATTGAAATTACTCCTGATTGCTTGTTCCCTGCTACCGCCGCCGACCCGACCACCTCGACCTTCGATGCGGCAACCTCGACCGGTCGCTGATCAACGCCGCGGCCGCGGCCTCGTCTTTCTCCTGGATGGCCCGCGCCGCCGCCTCGAACTCGGCCCGGATGGCTTCCTCAATGCTCCCTGTCTCGCCCTCGCCCTCGCCCTCGCCCTGGTCCTGCTCCTGGTTCTGCTCCTGGCCCTGGCCCTTCCCCTGGCTTTTGCCCACCGGCGGCGGCACCACATGCCTTGAAAATGCCTCTGAAGCTCGAACCCAGATCGTTGATTGACGCACCATTTGTGATCCATAGACACCCGCCACGAAGAGCGGCTGGATAAGCCAAGAGACGGCGTCCTCATCGTCATAGTACCGCGGGGGGTCGCCTCCTTTGTCCATGAAATGGACATCGATCTGCTCGACGAGCTCTTCCGTATAGGCGGCAACCCCACAGATCAAAAAGCCGACAATTCCTTCATATAGGAGATTCCGGTCGTAGCTGCATGCGCCATCCTGACGCTCTATATACCGTCCTCCGCCTTGGAATTCCCACCTTGACCAGAAGTCCCTCGCCAGGTGGCACATATAGCATCCACCCGCAGGTTCGTAATCGTTTCCGTACAGCAGCTCTCCCATATTTCCGCGGAGTCCGGCACGCCCTAGGGCACAGCGGTGTAGGAATAATAATATTTCCGCGGACCGTTTATGCGCCTCCGCGGTGACACTGCCGGAGCGCATGGCGAATCTGGTCGCCACCGAGACAATCCAGCGCTCCTCTCCAGTTCTCCACCTCCGCTTCATTGTCCCATGCTAGTTCGGGCGTTCCCGCCGTCGCCGTTTTGGGTTCCGGTGACTGTCGTTGCTTCAGCCGCCAGTCGAACGCCAAGATCAACAGGTCTAGCACGTACAGCTGCCGCGATACCCAGTACCCGTCGGTCGACCGTACTCGCTGCTCGAACTAGCGCTTTGCCTCCTTCTCGTTGCCAAGGTCTATACCATACTGATCGAGAACCAGCCTCGTCAGGACCTTTCCCAGGATCTGGCCGTCGTATGTGACCAATGCCGCGATCATTCTACGCACGACCGACCGATTCTCGCAGAAGCCGTCGCGCGCTTTGGCGGAATCGTACTTGGCAAGGAGTCGGGCGTGGGCTTTGGGCCTGCGACTCGCCGCCTCTTCAAGGTGAAGCCCTATCCTCATCTGGCCGCAAACGACCCAGCCGTACCCACATGTCGCACAATCGCCTCTCTGACCATAGTATCGGGGTATATCAAGTCTCTGTCCAGCCACTGAAGGACACGCCTCGCAACGTTACCGGTCCCCCATTTTTAACAGTCTTCTAGTCGGTGGTCTGGCTCCCGCTGCCCTGTCGTCGCGAAGCATAACTCGCAGCCGACGAACCTCCATTCCTGAGTGCGATCATGGATGACGCCGAGCCGACGGGTTGTCTGGTACGACGGATATAGCGGGGAGTCTTTTTCTCCGGTACACTCTCCGTCATACTTTCTTGCGATAGCGAGTTTACCGTCCTCCGGGTTAAGCGGACGGATAACGGGCAACTTCTCCGCCAGGTATGACGCGATCCTCCTCCGCTCGTCTGCCTCTCCAACCATCGCAACCACGTTAAGGCGGCCAAAAACAGGTTCATTTCTATGAGAGCTCATAGACTGTGTTGCCGGTAGTGGTAAGTCTGCAAGGCGCGTCCGCTTACTCTGGGCGGCGCCTTCCTCAGGCCCAGCGGGTCTCTTATGGCCGTTGGAACTGCTGGCGGGACCGAAACCGAATGGTAACGTTATCTAACGTCGTCTCTTCTTGCTCTTGAAGGGAGTGACAATGTGTGTTTCGAGAGTAGTTGGCGCGAGCTCAGATGGATGAACATTCTATGCTGCTGCTGCTGATGGTCCCTGCTTGCAATCGTCGGCGCCAGCCCAGCCCGCTCTGGTATCCGCAGCATTAACTATGCTAGGGAGGTGCAAAAACTCGTGCCACCGACTCGACACCCACTCGTATCGCTCGAGGAGCTGGGGCTGTAGCAGCACCGGAAACGCTCCGTCGAGCCCATATGACCTTACTCTGCAACAGGCGATGGCCAGTCTGCCAAGCGAAAGCAACATCGCGATCCGCAGCGTCTGTCCGGTCATCGAACCGGTTGAACGGTTTGAAAACTTCGCGGACATGCTTTTCCGAAATGCCGACGGATAGTTGCCGGAGTATCTGCAGCGTTATGCCTTTTTCCCAGGCCCGTGCGGTGAATCGTTTAATCACGATGGATACTTGCGCGCGGAAAAGATACGTGGAGCAAGCCCGCAAGTCGGGTCTTTGTTCCCATATCAGCATATCGACAATGGGGCAAATGTAGACGAGATATTTGAAGAGTAGATAGCTTGGCTGAATAGGAAGGAATCGAGCGATATAGAACTCCCTGTTGGTAGATCGCTTAGCCTTGTGGCTCCGCGTCAGCTACATTATCCTTCCGTCGTAGACGAAGATGCCACATTCGGTCGACATAGAGTTCTGGCACCGTAGGTGTAGGATGTAACGGGCTGGGCCCGGTGCGAGCCTCGGCGACTCTCGGCAAATACCAAGACCCCTGATGAGGCTATTCCCACTCGCCCCACAGCACACCGAACCTTCTAGCAACGCGCTCAGACCAGCGCGCC